TGTCCATTGGATTGTTCTACTGTAGGAACTTTTAAAGTGTATACTCTAGATATTATCTGTCAGCAGTAGGTGAGATATTTTGAATGTAACTGATGCACATACAGTTTCTCATGCAATTCTTAGAGTTCTGTGGGCCCAGTACAGGTGCCTTTCAGTACTGACATGTTCCTTCTGTACTAGTGATGGCTCATGATTTTGTAGGATAATCAGTTTACAAAGCTCTTACATAAATCTTATCTCATCAGAGTCTCTCAACAACTTTTAAAAGAAAAGATGTGTATTATTATTCTTGTTTTATAGATTAGGAAACTGAGTGGCTTGCCCAAGGTCCTAGGGCTAATAAATCCTTAAACTCTGCAATCTGTATCCTCCTTATGATTATATGATGCTTCAGCTGTTTGTAGATTATGTCCTATTCCTTTAAGAAAATGCTGCACCTAAGCTTTACTTCAGTTTTTCCTCTTCCTTCCCCTCTTCCTTTTCCTCTTCCCCCTTCCTTTCTCCTCTTTCCCCTCCTCCTCCTCTTTCCTCTGCTTCCTCTTTCTCTCTTTTGTATATAATTCAAAATACAGCTCTAATTTAAAAAGTCCATTCAAAATACATTACCTATAAGGTGAATGGATGAGTAACAGAAGCAGCAAGAGAATTTTTTAATATGACTTTTTGAGAGTTTGAGAGACTAGTAGAAATTACAAGTTACCTGTTTTTCAACAAACTACCTTTTAAAACCTAACATGTCTGTTACATAATGGGGAGCTGAGTTCAAGCTCAGTATTTTCTTTTCCTTTAACCTCCTACAGTGTTAAGAAGAGGAATATCAGGAATAAAAAGTAGAAAATATATTTTTAACATTTATTATTATCTAAATTATTTGTTCTTTGTCAAATGCTTTCTCTTTAATTATAAAATACCATCTATTTGACATATATTATTAGATACAACTAATACCTATAATTGTAATTAGCATCAAGTATTGACCTTATCATGGGCTATAATATTGGTAGGATGGGAATTCCATCATTCAACCTCCATCTGAAGCTCAGCACCCTGAACAGTTGAGTGGAAATTTGGAAATTCACTTTCTAAGAGAGTGCAAGGAAGGTGGGTTAAGAGATATCCAAATTAATTCTCAAAGATTTTTAGAGGTGGTACTTTTTTACTTTCTGGAGTTGTAAGATACAGAAATTACTAGATAAATAAATTCTCAAGTTAATCAACTACTACATGTAACCTTTTTAACCTTCTGGTGTTTCCATAGGTGATTCTATTTTTATATACATTACAAACACCAAAGAAATCTGTTTGATGAAGCTAGCAGGAACAAGAAAGAACCCCAGGATATCTGAGAAAAGAGAAGTCCTACTCTGAGTTATTTTAATCATCAGATAATAGTTAAGCACTTAAGCACTACCTGGGCACATCCCTTGATGAATAATAAAGATATAGGCCCACATCACCCCTTCTCCAAAAAGAAAATTGTTTCACATCAACTATATTCTACAGATAATTACTAAATATAGTAATTTAGTATAGATTGCCTTTTGGAGTACTATAAATGCATCTGCAGCTATATGCCTAGTATTAATCCATCAAATATTTCTATATAAGTGTCTGATTTCAAATTGGTTGCTTGCCCCCATTTTTATAAAGTAATGTCTTCTGCATGTGTTTTGAGTCTGAGAGCTATGTGTGTTGTATGATAAATACTATATGTCCAATAATGAGGTCTCTGTGTGTATTTCTTTTATGAGTCAGGTATTATACCAGGTTCATGCAGCTCACATGGAATAGAGGATAATTACACAAAAGTGGTAGCATAAAACAGAGGTGTGGACCAGGGAAGGGGAAACTAATGACAATGGAATTCAGATCTGTGTTGGGAGAAAAGGTGAGCTCTGTGTTGGTAATTTTGAAATCCACAAACTTGAGAGTTGGGTGTAAGGATATGGGTCATCAGGAATGACCCACGTACTCCTAATGTAAGGGGAGAGTCATTCCTAAATGGTGCAGGCTTCTAGAATCATCCAGTAGAAAGGATCTTGAACAGGCAAATTATCCATTTGAGGGAAAAGGCATTCATATTCTTAAGCACATTTTCAAACCAATCGCTAAAAAAGAGATTTGTGGATTAAGACAGCCATATAATTTAAAATACACTTTGAAACAAGTACAGTTGATAGTACACTGGGACAACAGGCTCAAACAGGGACTGTTCCAGGGAAATGAAAAGCATGGTCACCTTATTTCTGGAAGGAAGTGTCCGAAGCTTTTTATGAGGTGAGGGTAGGAGGGTTGACCTCGGTACAAAAAACGGACGCGCAAAGACGCTTCCTGTATTCTTTGTGAACGGGAAGTCAGCATGAGCAAAGAACAATGACTTCTTGGATGTATTACCCCATTGTGCTGTCAAGGTGGATATTGGTGGGGGGAAGAGAAGGGGAGGAGGGGGAGGAGGAAGGGGAGAGGGGAGGGGAAAGGAACGGAAAGAGGAAGGGGAGGACAAGGGAGGGTGAGGATGGAAAGCGGGGGAGAAGGAGAAAACTACAGTAACAAGAAGAACAAGAGAAGGAGGCAGGGAGAGGGGTAGGGAGATGAGCGAACGGGGTGGGTGGGATTATGAACACCAGGGGCAATAGATGAGACCTTACTACATGTCTGACATGGTGTCTCACCAGCCTGATTAATAAGGCCATGATCTCTGAGGGACCCTGAGAGACAAGGCAGCGCTAGGTGAGAAGAGAGTGAGCCCTGTTGGAGAGCAATGTCGTCTGGTTCTCTGGGAACGCGACTCCCTGGGTCCCCCCGTGACACCCTGTGTCCCAGAGTTGTCTGGAGGCAGTGCGTAGGGACTGCACCCAGATCACCCTGGGCCTCTGATGGGGTGCAGAAAGCAGGACCCTAACGCAATCGTTCCACTCTCAAACCAGCTCCACACCTCCGTCCGATCAGACTGACTCTTCTCCGCGGCCCCGCCCCCGGCCTCAGGCTCCGCCCCGGTCCCGCCCAGTTCTGCCTCCAGTCCCGTCCCTCTTCCCAGTCCAGACCTTAAATTCCCAGGTCCTCTGCACTTCCAGAGGGTCGCACTGCCAACGCGTGTCTCCACCGACTCCCGGCGTGGCCGCTTGCGCGTGCGCGCGCGCTGGTCCTGGGGCCCGGTCCCCCTGTGACCGGCACTTGGTACTGGCGGGCGGTTGGCATCCTCCGTAGCTATAGCTGGGGGCGGGCTTTTCAAATTTCTTTGAGGAGAGTGGCGACGGCTGCGACCGTTGGCGCTGGAGATGGAGGGGCAGACGCAGTGGGAGCGCGAGCTCGGCCAGGCGGGGCTTTCGGCCCAGCAGGTGAGAGGGAGGTGGCTTCGCCTGGCCGCCCTGTCAGGTGTTCGGGGAAGCCTCACTCCGCACCCGAACTCAGGCGCGGCCAGAAACAAGGGGATGGACTCGGAGACGCACTCTTGGGCCTCCAGAGGGCTTGGGCAAATGCACCCGCGGATTCCGCGGAATAAACTGAGGCCTGGAATGGGGAAGCGATGCCGGGCCCCGCCGCTCATTTCCGGCTCGCCTGTGTGCCGCCTTCCCCGGGCTTAGAGGTACGCGGTTTTGCAAGTGTAGGTGATGCAGGGGGAGTGGGTCCCGGGATTTCCGAGAAAGCCACCAAGGCCAATGGGGACAGGTGGCTTAGTACTAGATTTGATAATGCAAAGCACAGTTCTTGGGGCGATGTCTATATACAGCATGAAATGTTGAGAGGGACGCGGAGTGGGGAAGCGGACTGCAACCTCAGAACTTTAGAAAAAGTTGAAGGGAGTGAGCTCTTCCGCAAATATAGTAACTAGAATGGTAGGGAGATGACGCTTGGAATTGGATTAAAGTTTGGTGTTTGCTTTTTAACTGTGTAGAATATGCGTTATGTTGATCTACTTAATGAAAACCGACATTATTTCTTGGCAACATCTGTAGTTAATGTTGTATTATACTTCTCACTCTTAACCATAATTTTAAGATTTTAAAACTGTCTCAGCTGGATCTAGACTTCCATTTTAATCTCCACTGTCTTTTACCTACTTTTAAAGTACAGTAGTTTAAACCATATGAAATTAGCAGTTTTGTAAGTCAAAATCGTTAGATTATTTGCAGTTTAATGTGGCGCAACCTAACACCTTTGCTTAGAAGCCTATACACTGTTTAGTACATACAACATTGTTAGAAAGTTTTCAAAAAATACTGTGAGAAATAAAGCCAGTCATTAAGAGTTATTGTGCAAAAGAAATCCAATACCTTTATTAGTAATTTGTGCTGTTTTGACAGTGTTTTCAAAAGTTTCAAAGATTTTGTTGCAGAGTACTTCTTGTTATGTACTTTGGCTGTCTTGATTGTTTTGTATACCATCTTCATTTGTTGAAAGTTGCCAAACTGTTGAGGATTATGCATGTCTCATAGGTGTTGGTTTATTAGCTGTGTGCTGCAGTAATATTTAGGAATGGTATGGAAGAGAAAACAGAGATGATAAGGTCATGAAAGAAATTTGGCTTCATGAAATGAAAATAAATATTTAAATATTAAATAATACATAAAGGCTGTGTTTTTATATATGTGGGAGAGTACTATGCTTAGCTATTTCTCAGCATTGTAAAAACAAAGTAATAGAAAAGTGAAATTGCTTTTGTTTGGATCTTTGAGAAAAATCATAAAATAGTAGTAGGTTTTAAACTAACAAGAATATGGAGCCAATAAGAGAATGTTATATTTAATTTTTATTTGGTGTATTTTTATGTGAATGAAACAGCCATATAATTAGGATAAGACCAGTGCTTTTGAGGAAATCAGTACCAAATACTTCTGCCCAACTCTTACTCCTCACAGCAAAGAAAGTTGATTTTGGAGTCAGATTAAAGTCAAACCGAACTTTGCTTGTGCAGTTTTGAATAAATCACCGTCCTTATCTAAGTTTAATTTCCACAGTTATATAATGGCTATAATGCTTATCTCAGAAAGTTATTGGTATTTGAGAATCTTAAATGTTTAAGCTCTTAAAAAAGATCTTAAAATTAAAATAAAATTTGAGATATAATACCTCATTGCAGGAAAAATGTATGGTATCTCCCCTGCCAGGTAAGTATTCTTCCATTTTTGACATTGGTAAATATCATCATTGAGTGCTCAGTGTGTGTCCTCATTACATGATCATTATTCTCTTTGGGCGTGGGACTAGACTTCAGTTCCTTCCTAGCAGCACGTTTACCCTTATTATCTAAGTCCTTTGGCTGGGCTCCATCAACCCTTTCTTGGATAAGCTAGTCAGTATTGCTAGTTAGGTTCATTTCTGCATGTAAAGAGTAGCTGAATATATAATAAAGCAAGTTGCATGGAAAACAAAACCGGCCAAAACAATAGCCTTTTTAATTATTAACTCAAACTACATTGAAAAGCTGTGCATAAACTTACCGGTTTATCCTGTTTATGTCCTCCCTCTCAGATCCACTTAACTCACACTGTCTTGAGATCTTCCTCAGCAAGGAAGGTAGGGTTATAGTTTACTACATGTGTTAACTGGGGTGGGTAAAGGGCCAGAAAGTAACTGTTTTGCATGCCCTGCTGTCATCCCCTCATCCCCCTACTAGTGATCAACTCAGGACCTTGCATTTGCGAGGCAGGTGCAGCGCCACTGAACTACATCCCCGGCTGCTGTTTCTCTTGAAATTACTCTGTCACTGTAGCTTGAAAGTAGTCAGACAATAGAGTGGATGTGCTCTAATGCAACTGGATAAAAAAAATAGGTGCTGTTAGGTCATAGTTTGCTAATGCCTGTTCTAAAGGATAAAATTCTAATAGTAATGTCTGCTGACTATCTCATTTTCTAAATGAATATTAACTTCATTTTCACATAAATTTTTTAAAACTCTGACTTTATATTCCCCTTTTCCACTATTTCCTCAGCCTCTGATTTTATGGAGTCTTTTAATAAGTTAGGGGGAGAAGACAGTCTTCATTTACTGGATGCAAATCCTAAGCCCGGACTGGTTCATTAATGTGGCTGCGGCCACCTGCTGGTTCCTCAAGGTTGTTGCACCTTTGGAGATTGGGGTAGAATTTTCAGTAATCCAACAGTATTTCTTTATCCTGAACACTGAATCACTAGAAAAATTGAAAAAGAAACAAAAGAAAGAAGATAAAAATGCAAAAAACTTATGTCCCACCTTCAGAGATGCTAATTAGTTGGGAGTAAAGGATTTAGGTACTTTCCAAAGGCCCGTCCTCTCTGGTTCATGTGGTTCTTAGGTGTTTCTAAGCCTGCATTGAGAAGCACTGAACTACTTCAACTTGTTGCCTCATTTCTGCATTTAAAAAGCTAAGTTGAATTTAATGGCACCAGATGGTATTTATTTATATTTGAGTTGTGGGGTGAAGCTATGTATCCAGCTTCAAGTTGCTCCCTGCTTGCACTCTCCAACACTAACCAGTCTGTCAGAGTTTATTTCTTTAGACATATGGGTCACATAGATAATTCTTCTAATTAATTGCTAATTTCGTTAAAGAAGAATTTACTTCAGGGCTGACAAGTTATAAAAAGATGAAATGGAGTTGAAATTCAATCGTGTAAAGAAGGAAACCAGCAAATGACTACATTTATATAGTACGTACACTAGTTTTGAGTTGCATCACTACAAGAGAAGGTTTTAATGTGGTGATTATGTGATGTAATTATAGAAGGGAATTAAACAGATCTGTTTTCTGCATGTGACTAGTACGGTTGATTGATTTGGATAGCCAAGTTAAATGATCTACTATTTTTTTTTTGAGAGAAATAATCTTTATAGACTATTAGCTTCCAATTTCTATCTTTTTTAAAATTGACTTTAATATCTGGAGCTTTCTTAGATTTCATTCACATTTTACAATGTGTATTTTGATACATTAGACGTAATAGTGTTTTAATTTTTATCTAGAGAAGCCAGGATGGTCACTTAATGTTTAGAAATAGACAATAGTCTATGTTTGTAGTAAAAAAGAGTATCTCTATGATTAATAAATTTTACAAAGTGATGGAATAAAGTCAAAACTGTACATTCAGTTTGTAGAATTTGAATGCTAAAAATGAAATATAGAATCAGGCCATTGCAAGATAATTAAATAGAATGAAAGACTTTTAGGTTTAAAACACTTGGTAATTTCTTGATGACTTTTAAAATGAAAATAAGTATGTCCATAACTGTATTCTAAGTGTATGTTCCAGATAACTAAGGCCTCTCACATTTTCTAAGCACAGTGGTTTCACTCTGTCATTTCTGAGGTTTTATTTACACTGCCTATCATGATAAATGGCCTGTTAACTCCTTGGGGCTAAGCCTTGGTTCCTTTCTTCAAAATCTCCTCTTTCAGAAAGGTTTTCCTCAACTACATTTTACCATCCCATGATAAAGTTTATATTGTATATACATGTTGGGTATTACTCACATTAGTTACAGTGTACGTTTCCTAAGGCTATCATAATAAATGACCAACATTGTATGGTTTAGAAAAGGGAATTTTTTCTCTCTCTATAGTTCTGGAGATAAGTGGTCTGAAATCAAGGTAATGGCAGAGCCACATTCCCCCTGGAAGTCCTTGGGAAGAGTCCTTCCTTGCCTTTTCCAGCTTCTGATTGTTGCCGTTAATCCTAGGTGTTCTTTAGCTTGTATATGCATTTTCACATGGCCTTTTTATAAGGCCCTAATTATTGAATTTGAGGCCTACCATAGTCCAGTATGACTTCATATTAATATCATTTGCAGAGCTCTATATCTAGTAAAGGATACATTTTGAGATTGTGGATAGACATGAATTTTGAGGAACACTTTTAAACCTAGTATAGTTAAAATAAGAACATGTAATGTTCTTTGCTTCTGTTCTGTTTATCTAGTAGATTATAAAGACCTCTAATAACAGCAGAAATTAAACTTTTACAAAGAGATTGATTGACTGATTGATTGATTGATTGAGACAAGGTCTTGCTATGTAGTTCAGGCTGACCTTGAACTCACTATGGAGCCCAAGCTGGCCTCGAACTCACGGCATTTCTCCTGCCTCAGCCTCCTGACTGCTGCGATAGCAGGCATGTGCCACCATGCCTGACTGCAAAGAGCTTTTAAAAATAGATCTATTTTAATATGTTATGTGTTTTTTCAAAATAAGATATAAAATGAATGATAGCAATGCATTTTTCATGTTAAATGTAAAAAGACATGTAATTTGGATTTTTGCTACCTTTTAAAAATACTTTTCTGTTTATTTTAGGACTGCAGCATTCAAGAGAAAATAGATTTAGAAATTCGAATTCGAGAAGGAATATGGAAACTCCTTTCCCTGAGCACTCAGAAGGACCAAATTTTACATGCAGTTAAGAATCTCATGGTGTGCAATGCTCGAATAAAGGCTTACACATCCAAGCTACAGAAATTAGAAGAGCAGATTGCAAATCAAACTGGACAATGGTTAGTAGCATAATTTACTTATGACTTTTTTTTGGTACTGGGGATCGAACTTGGGACCTTGGGCTTGCGAGACAGGCGGCGGCCCCACTGAGCTAAATCCCTGGCCCTACCTATGACTTTTAATGTTCCTAAATATTTGCATTTAAGCTTAAGTATAAATGTCAAATCACCAAACCTTTGTAAAAACAAATACACTGAAGTAGCAGCTGGCATCATAAACTTTTTGACAAATGTTTACTCAAATATTTTGAGTAAACTTACTGTAAAGCAGCAACTTTTGTTGGGCAACTTTGTTGTGCTCAATAAGTTACTATGAAATGAATAATGAATGTGGTTAAGAAGCAAGGACCAAGGGAATATTTTAAGGAGAATGGACCAAGGCTGGTAGTTGAATACATAGAAATGTAGATAAAAAATTAATTGCTTAGAGATATACTAATAAAAATATAGTATCTTAAAGTAATAAAAACCTAAAGAAATTAAAATGAGTGGACAGCAAATTTATAAAGATATAAAACCTTATGAATGGAAGAAAACTTAAGAATCTGCTAGCATATCCTTTCATATGATGAACATAAGTTTCAGATGGGCAAGAATCTAATGACAGAAGCTAATGTTAGTTAAGATTTTCTAAGAAACTTGTTTCTATGTTCTCTCTGTTACACCATAGTCCCTTTTTGAATTAGATCTATGACTTGTGTATGAAATTATATCCTATTCTATTTACGTTGCCAATTCTCTTAGACCTAAGAATTGACCCAGTTTAGTGGCTAGTATAAATAGTGTTATGCCAGTTGATTAGCCTTACTCTGCTACACATGAGAAGTATTTTGTAGACCTCAGTGGTTGTTGAACTGGTCCCAATATACTTTCATTAAATTCTTAAAAAGAAAGTAAAAATAGCTTAGAGAAGATGTCTGTAAAAATAAAATACATTAATGAGGTCATGATGTGCTAGAGACCTGAGTAAAAGGAACCATATTCATTAAATTGTATTGTAATAGAATAGCTATTTTAATCTCTTTATGTCTCAGTTCCTTCATTATAGTAGGCATGGTAATCTTTACATTTTGAAAATTGAGATTTTGTTTGTGTGTGTATATACACATATCTATATCTATCTACACAGTTCTCATGGAATGGCTTTTACATACTTAGTACTCAACAAATGTCAAATAATTCTCTTATTATGTGCCCTGAGCAATATTAGTGAAATTGCTTCTATATCATAATCTAGGAAAATACTTTTCTCATACGCATACATTAGTTTGAGTTATTGCTTCTCAAAGTGGGCCACATATGTCACTCACAGTACATGATCTGTCAGCAAATATGCAAAGCATTTGAGTAAATATGCCACATCTTAGAGGATAAACTTTTACGATGAAGTATGAGAATTTAGAATGTGATATAGTTTTAGGTTATGTTTTCAGCTTTTATAATGGTATTTTGTCAAGGTCAGGACAGTTACAGAGGAAAAATTTAAGAAGTACTAAAAAAAAAAAAGTACTGGTTTAAGAAAGTATAGAAGTGGGCCTGGGGATTTAGCTCAGTGGTATTGCACCTGCCTGGCAAGCATGAGGTCCTGAGTTCAATTTCTGGTACTGAAAAAAAAAGTGTAAGAGTAAGTATTCAATTATATCTTTTCGCACAGTATCTGGAATATGCTGGGATCCATATCTACTGCCATATTTAATGTTCTTTTAAATATTTATTATGAATTTTGAATTGTCCATGTTCTTAGTATAACTTTTCTGAGGTTGCTGATGAAAAAATGTGAAATAAGCCTAATCTCTGCTAGATTTATGTAGCAAAGATGAGGGGCGGGTGGAATCTTGGATCTTAACTAAAATGTATATCTTCATTTCTTTTTTGTGATTATCTTTTGTAGATGAAAATATCTTTGTTTCCATACACATATTTATATTCACCACTCATGAAAACATTGCTGCCCATAATTATTGAAATTATTTCTAGAATTTAAAAAAAAATATTGAGTATTCTGTATGGATTTTTTGTTTACAACTTCATTTTATAGGTGCAGATAAAACCTGAGGCCACTGATCTAATACAACTGGAAATTTTAGTACTTGCTTTCTTATTACATGAAAATGATGAATCTTATATGAATAATGAATCTTATGATAGTTTAGTTCCTTGAAGAAAGTCATGTGAATTATTGCATTTGATTAGTCAGCCTTATGTTTACCAAATATCTATTGCCTGAAGACCACTTACTAAGCATTGTACTAAGGTGTCTATTCACGAAAAACAGATTGTCAACCAAGAACAATATATTCATGTGCAGCAAATATGTTGGCTTTAGAAACTCATAATCTATTTCTTAGTTAATTTAGTCTTTGAGACACAGAAGTGTTCCATTTTATATTTATAAAATAAATAGCATTAATGAGAACAACTCTAGACTGTCTTAAAATTTTATGATAAAATGTTGAAAGTATAGACAATAAGCCTGGACTTTTTCAAAGAAGAATCAAATCAGTATGGAATGATTGGACTGAGGAATGTCCAATAAAGGAAGTGGGTCTGGATCTTGTAGCTTTTGAAGGATGGAGAGTTTAGTGAGTAGGAAAAAGACAACATTCCAAGAAAAAGGAATAGCAAAATGAAAGCTTAGCGTGGACGATGAGCATGAATTATACAAGAGCAGTGGAGAGATGAGTTGATTGAGGCTGAAGATCAAGCCAAAGAAGAAAAGAAAGAGGAAGGGGTACAGAATTTGAGAAAGCCTGGAATGCAAGAGAACTGGTGGGTGTTAATTGACAGCATTTCTTGGTATCAGGAATTGTGCTACAGGGTTCACAAACATCACATTAAAAGCTGATAAAAGTACAAATAAGCATCTTTATGAAAGAATTGGGAACTAGGATTTCAAACCAGTAGATAACTGTTTCAAGGGCACACAGTGCTTGTTTGGCTAAGACATCCATCCAGATAACTTAAAGCTTGTGTTCCTTCTGTCAAAAAAAGTCCCTGGCCTTTTTCCCACTCTGGCTGCCATGGTGAGCTGTTATAGGGCTTAACATTTATCTGTTTATGACTTATCCTTTATCATTTTACCCAGGGAAGAGGCATGATAAAAATGTGTCTCTGGGGGAGGTTATCTGAGTATTAAAGGGTGATGAGAAAAAAATCATTGAAATAATTTTTAGGGTAAATATTTAAGAACAGACCGATGGATCTAATAACAAAATAACTTGATTAGAGAAATGAGGAAATCGCAAGTAGCACATGAATTTCCTTGGGGCTTATCTAATAGATCTTCACTCAAAGTGCTCTCTATCCAGACACAACCATTCTGCTAACACTTTTCAGCTATTTCTCAAAATGATGAGTTATTAAAACCATCAACTAATCTTACTTCATTTTATAGCCTTTTTAAAGATTAGTTTATAAGATTAGTTTCCTGGGGTTCCAGGAAAGAATTAAGCCCTAATGCCCCAAGACATTCTACTTTGTGCATTCACTTAGTTTTTGTATACTAAAATAGTGCTACTTTTGTACCAACCTTGGAAGAATTGCAAACCACTCTGTGGTTTAGATGAGGCACTCCAGTTGAGAAATCAGTGATATTTTTTTAAACTACACGTGCTCTGAGAATATCAACTAGTTATATGTTTCACTGCCATAGTATCCCAATAATACTGTATAACTAAAGCATTGTCCTAGATTGTATGTAAGTATGAAATACCTTCTATTATACTGCCTGTTTTTTATGCCTGAAAAATAAAAAATACTCAGATTTATGTACAATTCAAAGTGAACTCCTACTGATCCAAAAAGGTGACTTTTTCTAGATTGACTAGAAGGTGAGAGACAATCCTTCCTCAATTTAGAGAGTAGAATGGCTTGTTTATAGTAAACTGTTAATTGCTTGTCTTATCTAAACTAGACTACCCCCTCCCTTTTTCCGGCTTATAATAGCTAGGATCTCTCTATTTAAAAGACTACTTCTATCAAACTACTTTCAAAAAGCAGCTAATGCTTGCCAAATACCGAATTTTCTTAGGTCTATTTCTAAACTACTTTCATAGTTCTCCTCCACCCTTCTCTCCCTCTACTAGGGATCGAACCCAGGGCCTTGTGCATGCTAGGCAAACACTTCACCACTGCACAATATCCCCAGCCTTTTTTGAGACAGTCTCCCTAAGCTGCCCAGACTGGCTTTGAACTTGCCATCCTCTTGTATCAGCCTCCCAAATACCTAGGATTACCGGCATGTACCATGGTGCCCAACTTATCTCTCATTTTCTACTTTACATGTTTTTGCAGACAATTGCTTGATCTGTATCCTCAAAACAGTTCTTAAATTTTCTCATCTCCAGAGCCTTTGCTTATATACTAAAGTGCCCTATCTTCCAATCCCACATAGCAGAACCTCTTGTGTTTTGAAGTCATTAACTATTACAACTGAGTTTCCTTGATTTTTCTATTCAGAAAGTGACTGATTTTTTTTCCTTTATGCGCATAGCAAAGACTCAAAAAATGATTACTTGCTTCTTAGTTCTGATAGCATCTGAATTGCTACTAGTGAATCGCTCATTATAATTTACTATAACCTATGAGGTATTAATAAATACATCTTTTCAATTAGATTATCAAGTTTTGGAAACAGGACAATGTCTGGTTCTTATAATGAAAGAAAGATGTTATCACCTTCATTTCATAGGCTCTTGTGTGTATCAGTGCCTGGAGCTTAGGGGCAATTCTTATGTTGGTTCTCTTCTTCCTCTGTGTTCCTTGTGTGCTGAGAACACCTGATAGTTCTGTCCACTTTCAATTTAATATGTGTTTCATAGATAGTAGATAGTTTTGCCCTATCTCCCTTCATGTGTGTAATGAGCAATTGGGGCTGAGAATTAATTTAATAGTTAATTGTATACTAGCTATTCTTTTTTTTTGTCCCTTTTCATATTCTTAGCTTACTCCTGTGTTTTGCTGTCCCAAGCCTCTTTGGTGGTAATGTATTCCCTACTTTG